GATGCTGCCTGGCCTGCTGTGCTCCTATAGCTCCACACTATATTATCTCTGACTCCAGCATGGGCAGTTCTTATTATCTCTGAGAAATTACAAGTGTCATCTTTTGGTGTGTATTGAACTCAGTGCATACAATGCACACTTTAAACAGGCCGCCATACTTATAGACCAAACAAAATTTTGTTTATTGCAGCAGGTAGAATATCTGCAACAGTACAATAATTTTAATGTACACTTTTAATTTATAGAATTGCTTTTTTAAAATCAAAATGGTTGCAGCATTATTAAACGAATGAAACTTTAATCACCTATTGTACAACATCATATGACACCCACCACCTGATTCAATATCCTGGCTCGTGATCAATCTGACATCACCAACACAGCAGGTGACGGTCAGAGTCCAAAATGTCAATATCACAAGGAAAACAAACAACTTCTGTCGAAGGGTCTAGGCCCGAAACGTCAGCCTTTCTGCTCCTATGATGCTGCTTGGCCTGCTGTGTTCATCCAGCCCTGCACCTTGTTGTCTCGGATTCTCCAGCATCTGCAGTTCCTACTATCTCAACTTCTGTCGAAGTTTAGATACTATTGCCTATCCTTGAGCTACTGAAGGCTCTAAGACATTGTGAGGGCTCTACATAGGGACCAACCTGTCCACAACAAACTCGAGCCAATTGTACCCAGTCAGAGACCACCCTTCAACTAGAGAACTGTGATTGGTTAATGGGTGGAGTATCCCGCGTCTCATTAGCCGGTTTGCCAGAGACCAGGCCTGCCCGTTGGGAGGGCCCCACGTGCCGCAGGCTGCCCGTCTTTTATTGGCCACCTGGGTTCCGTGCCGCCCGGTGATTGGCTGTGCTGCAAGTACTGCCTGTTGATTGGCTGGACTTTGAGGGAGCAGGCGGGTGATTGGTGGAATGAGCCGGTCGGCGGGCGGGGAGAGTCACGTGCAACTCGAGGTTGAGGGTAGGAGGTGGGAGCTCTTTAGTGGAATCGAGGAGCTGTCCGCTTTGTAGTTGGTTCAAGGTTCATTGGCTGTAGCTTCCAGACTGTCCGCTTGTAGTCAGTTACTATGCCGTGTTCTGTAGTTTTTCGTTCCGCTGCGCTGCTCGTTGCAGGTATGTGTGTCCGCTTGTTGATACGAGTGCCTGCTTGGCCTAGTGAAGGGTGATAAAGCCTGCTAGAGGGTACTAAACTGTCCGCTTCCGTTTCTGATTGAGCCGGGTTGGGGTAGACCGGAACAGGACAAGGCCAGACCAGACCAGACAGGACAGGACCGTCTCCCCGTGTAGCTTATATGCCCCTATTTCCCGAGCTGGCACTTTTCTTCCCCCCGCCCACCTGTCAGTATTTTGCCGTGCAGGTGCAAGATGTGATCGCGCGTTCACATCTTATGAAGTGTTTCCCATGATTAAAGAGCTGGAATGCTGTAAATGTGTAAGCAACTACACGAGTTGGCTGTGTTCCACCGTGTTAACCATGTCGTTTCCGTATTTGCAGCACTTGTGATCGTCGCGTGCAGGTTCGAGTATGTCATCACACGAGCTCCTGCCTTATTCTCCCTGCCCATCAGCATTGCCGTTATAAGCGCGATGGTACTGAAAGATGCAAGAAATCTTATCTTGCCTGAGGAAAGAGTTTTGACTATTCCTGAGTTGTTGTTCTTTGGGACTCTTTCCCCTTGTAACGTTTTAATTTATTGTCCAACTATGAGAGTTACTTTTTTTTTTTGCTCTGAATTTTCTTTTTAAAGGACTGGAGGGTTTGAGCTGTGGGAGAGGCTGAATAGGCCGGGGGGCTATTTCCTCCTGGAGCTTCGGAGGATGTGGGTGGTGACCTTTTTTTTTATACAAATCTCTTAAAATCATGAGGGACATAGGGTTAATAGCAAAAACTTTACCCCAGGGGAGCCTAAAACTAGAGCGCACAGGCTTCATGTCGGGGGTGGGGTGGTGGAGAAAGAGAGAATTTAGAAGGGACTTGGACTGTTCATGCAGAGGGTGGTGTGTGTATGGAATGAACTGCCAGAGGAGGTGGTAGAGGCTAGTGTAGTTACAGCACTTAAACGGCATCTGGATGGGTATAGGGATAAGGGTTTTGAGGGACATGGAGCCAAATGCTGCAAAATAGAATTAGGTCAGATTGGGATGTTTAGCATTGATGAATTGGACTGAAGGATCTGTTTCTGTGCTATATGACTCCATGACCAGAAATAGGCCACCCTGCTCTGCTATTCCATCAAGGCTGATGGGTTTCTCAATCTAGTTCTCCTGTGTTCTGCCTGTAATCATCACCCATTATTAATCAAGTAGTGTCTGTCTCAAAGGCACAATGATTGGCCTCTGCAGCCTTATGTGGCAATGAGTTAAGAGTGAATCTGTGGATCTAATAACATTTGGCTGAAAAAACTTCTTGTCTAGGTTCTAATGAGTCCTCCATTCATGGAGGTTGTGTCCTAGTCTTGTCTGTTCATGCTACCAAGGTCCCTCTGTATTTTGTGCATTTCAATGAGATCCCCTTGTCTTTTTAATCTGAGCACACACTCAGTCCTCAACTGCTCTCTGTGAGACAAGCCCTTCATCCCTGGGATCATTCTCATAAAACTCCTCCCAATGTCAGTGCATCCTTCCATTGTCATGAGGCCCAAAACTGTTCAATGTTCCAATGCAGTCTGACCAGTGTGTGCATGCTTGCTCTGGTATTCAAGCTCTCATGAAATGAATGCTAACATAACATTTGCCTTCCTAACTGCCAACTGAACCTGTTAACCTCAACCTGACCTAAGACTCCCAAGTCCTTTTGTGCTTTGGATTTCCAAAGCCTTTCCCTGTTTACAAAATAGACTACACTGCTTCTTCTGACCAAAGTTCTCTCTTTCCCACACTGTATTCCATTTCCCAGTTCTTTGCCCATTCTTCTACTCTGTCCAAATTCTTCTGGAGTTTACCTGCTTCCTGAATTCTACTTTTCTCAAAAACCTCTGCTGTTACTGTTTCCCTGCTAGGTTCTCCTTCCAGTCAACAGTGGCCAGCTCCTCTCTTGTCTCTGTAGTTACCTTTACTCAGTTATAATACTGTTGTATCTGATTCCAGCTTCTCTTCCTCAAACTGCAGGGTGAATTTGACCATGTTATGTTCACTGCCCCCTAAGCGTTCCTTCAACTTAAGCTCCCTAATCATGTTTGCCTCATCACACAACTAAATCCAGAGTTGCCTGTTCCCTAGTGGGCTCCCAAAAAACATTTTTCAGATATTCAAAGAATTCCTTTTCTCACTCTATTGCCAACCTGTTTTGTTTTCAGTCCACCTGCATATGAAGTACCCTGTGATATTTGTCATGTGTTTTACACTCACTACTTACTACAATTTCTTCTTAAAATTGACATAGCTTAAATTTTTAAAGCACAGACAAATGAGTTGACTTTTCTAAAATCTTTTTTGAATAGTTAAGCCTTATAGCTTTTGGCTTACTCCCTGCAAAATATGACTACATTTTAAGGGCTGTGTCTCACTATCTGCTGCAGAATGCTTTGGCTTGTTTTTGCACCTTAGCAATGGCCTTTTGCGATAGTGGTTTAGCACAGGATGTTTGCCTGGTCTCCTTTTGTGACTGAATCTAGCCTGTTGGTGTTATATTTTTGTATTAATATTTGTATAGGGTGCAACATTAATGGTTTTGTTTCCATACCTAGCACAAGTCAGAAATTTGAATCTTTCAAATCATAATGGACTGTTTCCACTGTTATGGAATTTAGTTCAATTTGCTCACTTTTGGTCTTTAACTATCTTGCTTTACAAAATCACATGGCTAACTGTGTATTCCCATTGAGCCAAATTCAACTTATCTGGACAGTCTCCTTGGGGTGAAGTACCTTGAACAAAGGAAGCAATTCTGCTTGGATCCTTTCCTTGCCCATAATCCATAAGTTAGTTGTTGCCACAAGTTTAATGTATTCTTCAATAGGTTTACTTTATATGTGGGCACAAATATTAAAATATCCCATGTAGGCTGTATTGCTTGTTACACTGTCACCTATAGCAAATGTAGAAATAATGTGGTGGCCAATGCCTTGCCCTAGTGTGTCGCAGTTCAGTACCACAGCCATAGCTTCATCTCTTGAGGGGAGGAACTGTGCTTGGCTTAAGTGCAAATTTCACATGCTGAAAGTTAATGAAAAGATTAGTTAAACAGCCACTTCAGTTAAGATGAGTGTTTTTATCACTGGCAACTGATGAAATAGCAGTTTCAAAGTTGCAGTAAACAGTTTAAAATATCCCAGCTTTGATCTGATTATGCATAGACCAATCAAGTTTAGGCAGTTTGTTGTTTTGGTTATAAACAAGTTCCTTGACCTTTTCTAATGTGATTAGAGCCTTCCCTGAGTTCAGAAGTGGGATGTTTGTGCAGTGTTCAGCACCAATGACTCAGACACTGCAGTCTGTCTATGGGCAGTAATACAAATGATATCCCAAGCTAAGGCTGAGTGGCAAAAACCATTACAAGTGCCATTTCCATCCAGAGAATCTAACCACCTACCCTTGACGACAAATTTAGCATCTACAAGATGCTTTGCAATAACTCAGCATCTTCTGAATCCCTCTATTAGGAGGGAGACATCAGACATGCAGGGACACCAAATCAGTAAATTTCCTTTGTCATTCATTGACACTAGATCAAAATCCTGAACACACTTTTTAAGAGCATGGGAGAAGTGGGTGTTCTAATAATCTGGTAGTGAATATAATCTGAGGCTCACCATCCCTTGAGTGAAGGGAGAGGTTGAAAATGTGGAGATGCCTTGATGACCTCCATTGTAATGGAAATGAACCTGTGCTGTTTGCACTGTTAAGCCAGCTTTGCTAACCTATCCCATCTTTAACTTGCCATCTTAACTGTTACATGTAATGTGGGTATTTTAACTCTAGAATCATTGCAAGCTGATCTCCCACCAAAGGGGTAATGAACTAGATAACTAGGTCAATTGTTGCAGCTTCTTACTAGCAAATCATAATGAATAGTCTTGCATTGAAGTTGCATGTGTTGGGCATAAAATGCTAACTGAGGAAGTCTTCCATGGTTGTGGAATTGAGGTGATTGACTTCAATTGCACCCATCTGTCGTTGTTCTAAAAACAGTTTGCTGGAAAATCTCCACAGGTCTGACAGCATCTGTGGAGAATTTTTCTTGGGTTGTTTCCCAACTAGTGAAGAGGTTCCCTGATTCCTGTAGACTCCAGTTTTGTTAATGCTTCTTGGTCAAATGCTGCCTTGATATCAACATCAGTCTCACCTTGACTCCTTCTGGAGTTCAAGCTTCCAGTTGTAAAATGGAAAATATTTCCCTATTTTGCAATGGGGCAAACTTTCCCTTTTTACAGCCTCTTAGCAAAACTGTACTCCCCCTTAAGATGTGGGGACAGAAGTGCTTTGGTCCATCAATTCTGCTCTGCAAATTCAAATAAATAATGTTCTATGTAAAGTGCTGTGGCATTTGCAGCTGTAGCAAAGAATTTGAAGGGAAACTGATCGATCTTTTGTGCTGATATCCCATGTCATACTCTACCATTGAGTACAGAAATTAAATGCTACATGTACCAGTATAAAACTGTGCAAAACTGAAATGTGTAGTATCTTCATAGAATAAAAGCAAATTACTGTGGCTGATAGAAAGACTTTCCACAGATGCTAACACCTGGTCAATCAGTTGATTTGTTGTGAAATGACTGGAATGTATTCAAAATTATGCAACATTTCAAGTTTGGTACCAACAAAAAGATTAAAGTTAAACCTCTTAAACACTTTGGGCCTTTCTGCCCTTAGCCCTGTGCATTCTATGAATTGAGGAGATGGTGCTCATCCTGTGGCTTTAGTGTAACCATTGGGCTATGCTTTGAGATGTCAATCCACTTGAAGCAACACTTCCAGTCATAAGTTGAGCAGAATTGATAATTTTATCTAACTCCACCTGTGGCTGTGAACCAATTTATGGTATATCAAATTGGTTCAGACCTGACCCTTTCTTGTAAGTGGCCCTATTGTAGATAGTGTAGTAATTTCTACAGAGAAAAAAACAAATTGGTTATGAAACCAACAAGCTGAACCTTTACAGATTGGCTTAAGTGTAATTTGACCACCTTTTTTTTTTCCCCCAGCACTTTCACTTATTCAAGCAGTCAAGATTGAAGTCCATGGCAAAGATAACAAAACCTGTATATATGCTATACTGTCTGTCAACTTCACTGTCATTTATGAAGGAAATGGGACAATGGTAAGTAATACAACTTGCTGTGCGAAATTTAAAGCAGTAAGTAGCTTGCAGACAGGAAGCTAATGGGTTGAAACTTGACTCTTGGACAATCAGTTGGTGTTCAGATGCTGCAGTTTAGGGCTCTGCCATTGCTTGCAGGAATTTAGTTAGGTTTTGGGGTCCTGATTGCTCTTTGCAGATCCATGATGACTTGTTTTTGGCTATAATGATCTAGTCAGCTGTTTGAGAACCAGTTGAAATGTCGACTCCTTTGTGATACTTCTCGATGAGAGGGGGGAGAAAACATTCACCAACTGGAATCCGATATACAATGTGACCATTTCAAAGCAATTACATGTTTGTGTGGAGAGAATGAATGACCTGCTCATATTGAAGAAGCAAGTTGTGGTGACCAAGTGTGCAGGATTCAACTGTCTGCAAGGTAAGATCAAGTTGAATTCCTGTCATCTGTTCAGACTCCTTGGTTGTCCTGAACTGGCTTACAGTTGAATGTGTTTGACTATTAATCCGAACAATTCAAATCTCACTCCCCTCAGTAAGTGTAGCTGTGCTTTACATAAAAGTACAGTAAATACAATCCAAACTGGGATTACACCATATAAAAACATTTTATGATCATGCACTTAATAGCAGAATCTTCTGTTAGGGCCTCAGCATGGTTTTCTTAACATCAGTTGAAGAGACTTTTCATTTCATTTGTATTTTAACTTTATGAAACACCATAGCTTATGGAATCCAACCAATCTTGGTTCACTAGGTCAATGCTACTACTAGTAGAGCTCTGAAGTTTGGGTAACTCTGTCCCTAAATACAACAGGAGATTTACTAAACCTCAAATGCTTTATCTCTTCCAATCTTCTTGCTCACATCTGCCTTCAATATAGGGACTACAGAATATCACTCTTATAAGCAGATCCCTATTATTCATGTGTCACAAGTATTTGTGAAGACTTTCACAAGTGCCCATGCAGCAGGAAAGATTTGGCAGAAGCTCTGATTAACTTTGAATTGCTAGATGTTGCTTAATTTGAATATCTATCAAATTTTGAATAATTAAATACTACTTCTAACCTACACTTTTGCGGTGGCTTGCTTGCCTCACCTTGGGTTTTATTCCATAAAATGTTAATTAGATTGTCTTTCTCTATGAAAGACACTTTATTTAATATGCATGTTTTCCTCAATTAATCTTTCAATTGACTCAACTTGTAATATCACCACATCTGAGTGGAGGTGATGAACTCTGGGGACACCTGCAAGATCCTGTTGGAGTCTTAAAATGCTGGGTATATTTTCACAACTGATCTATTGTGGTTGATTTTTGCCTAAAATGGCAATTTTAATAGAATGAGTGGTAGCTCCAGTCTTGGCTGGCTGCTACTTCAGTTTGGATTCTAATAAATTTTAAAATTGTTCACAGCTTTGTAAGGTAGTTATTCAACCATTTATGTTCAGTCATGCTTTTTTAAAAGCATAGTTTTCTTAACTTCCCGAACCATGGAGTTCAATGATTGCATTTGGCTGTTATCTTTCATCCCACAAGATGATGTAAAATTCTTGGTGATTCTAGCACTTGTGTGCATAATATGCCAAGTTAGCCTAAATTAACCAACTTAACTTTGTTTTTCAGGAAAATGCGACTTTCCGGTTGCCAGATTCATTATCCACCAATGGAAGCACATGTGGTGGTAACAATTCGGCTCCCTTGTTGAACATGGGCTTTGGTACTGGTCATTCCTTGAGCTTAAACTTCTCTCGTACTGATGGCAAATTTAGTGGCGATGTACTGACTTTCACTTACAACACCAGTGATGCAAAACTCTTTCCTGGAGCAAAAAACCAAAGTATGACTTCTATTATATGTACTATCCTACTTATAATGTGGATTAAATGTTGATCAGGCAGTATTGCTTGGTTCTCTTAACTTGACCCATGAGTCTAGTTCAGTCACGTTGCTAAATATCCACTCCAGAACAGTTCAGTTTTCACTAGATGGTTTTAATTGAGCTGATGATGGGCAGCAGCAAATGAAGCACCTGGTTTTAATGGAAAACCCACTGGGGCTCTTTTTCTATACACCTGCTTCCTCACTCTAGAGCAGATTGTGGGACAATGGAGTGTTAATGAACCTGCATTGCACAACATCAGGTGAAAAGTAATTGGTAGATTGTATAAAGCTTCAAGTTTCACAAGCAGTCAGGTAATTCCCAGAATGGATCTTGAACCTCTTCTCGGCTGATAGTTGAATGCAGAATCTGGAAGGGTTACAGATGATAAAAGGTCATGTGCTGTTTGTTACTCCAGTAAGCTCTTATTGAAGAGCAGTTCTCTGGTCATCCAGTGGCATCAAAAGTGTTGATTCTTTTGTGAAACATTGTTTATTAAACTTGTAAGCAAGTTACTTTGTTATTAAACAAATCATTAAAATATTTAAAACACTGAGACACTTGGTCCTTGGTTTGGGCAGCATTCTATTCAGTCAATACAATGTAACTAATTACAATTGAGGTTTATTTATGGACACTTTTTCCTTAATGCTAAATGTTTTTAATTGTGCACATCAGGAAGAATATATCATGTTTATACTTGAAACTGTGCTTCAATGTTATGAAAACCTTGTCAGTGCATCCCCTTCAGTTGTCAGGACTATGAATTTTTGTGACTATAGGCTACAAACAGATGTCTCAATGTAGTGCTTTTGCCTCCATGAGTTCATCATTTAGTAACACTTTGTTCTTGGGTTTGTTCTTCTCTGGCTGGCTTCCTGGCATGTCCTCACAGAAATCTTGTAGCCCTAAGAACAGCTGTTTAATGGTAAAGGATGCCCCCAGGTTTGTCAAATAGTGGCTCAAAATAATACAGCAAACTTAATTAACCAGCATCTATGGGACCAGGAGTGTGCTAGTTGATCAAGTCCACCTAATCAAAATTGTCACCCTGCTTTGGAAGAATATTTTTGTTTTTAAACTGAAATAGATGCAAAAAGACAGACTAAAAAGGCTTGAGATATAACAATAGGCTGGGGTTTGTTTGCCTGGAGTGTAAGTTTGAGGGGTGACCTTACTCATTTATCCATGCCCCTCATGATTTTAGGGAATAAACTAAGTCTTCCACCCAGGATGGAGTTCAGAACTAGAGGGCATAGGTTTAAGGTGAGATGGAAGATTTGAAAGGGACTTGAGGGGCAACTTGTTCACACAGGATGGTGTTCCTGCAACAAGCTGGTAGAGGAAGTGGTGGATGCAGGTACAGTTACAATGTTTAAAAAGACACTTGGACAAGTACATGAATAGGAAAAGTATTGAGGGATATGGGCCAAACGCAGGCAGGTGGGACTCTTTCAGTTTAAGAAACCTGGTCAGCATAGATATGTTGGGCTGAAGAGCTAGTCCCCATGCTGTATGACTCTAATATAATGTGGGGGTATACACCATTGTTGTACTTCATTTACAGCATAAATCACTTGAATAATATTGCAAACTTTTGTCTTAACTCTGACAGCCATCTCACTCTCTCACCCTCAACTGACAGCTCAAATGTGGCAATCATGATAGTAAGTTTCCAGTATTTCAGGTGTATAATTTTGGCCAGTTTATAGTGTCAGTTAAAACAAAGCTTGCTATACAATAGTGTCTCTTTCCCCAAAGTAAGAATTCTGACACTTAATTGTCTTTTTGTTATTGATTTGATTCAGTTTCTGGTCTCTTTTTCTGCAGGTGTAAAACATGTGGCTGTGAATTCCTTAATGGAATCTGTACCCCTGAACACAATCTACACATGCAGAAGTGTTAAAGCTATTGCAAGTGAACCAGTTGTCATGGTTTTCTGGCATGTTGGTATTCAAGCCTTTGTGGAGAACGGAACAATTAGCAAAAATGGTAAGAAAATAATCCATTGATTGTCAGCCATTTTAAAAATCATCAGTCAGTTGGTGACCTAAATCTCTAGAATATCAGTGATCTAGTTGGTTTGGATCACAAATGTTTGTTACCTTGACTTCAGTTAGAGTTTACAAGTAAAACCTGGTTCTGGTTGAATGGAGTGTTGTGACATTTGGTCACGTGCATGAAGTGAGCTTGCCATCTTTTTTTTTTTTTTGTTTTATTTTTTTTTTTTTTTAAGCTGAGTTGACCTGTCAACTTGTTTTCATGTTGTCTTCTGGCTGAGGACAGACTGCATCCAGCTGCACAATTACATTGGAAAAACTGTCCACAACTTGTTCTCCTCCTCCATGTTCCTGGTTCTAAATCCATTAACTTGTCTGAAATATGGCTACTCCAGCCAATAGTTGCACCTACTTTAAGGTACTTCCCTATTGCTTGTAGCTCCATTTGAAACAATGGAATACTTTAAAAGTGTTTAATCTCTTGAACCTTGTTGGATGTAATTTAGACTATTAAACCTTTTGAGGTTGCTTCTGTTCAAGCACAAGGATGAAGGCTGCCCTTTGTGGAATGATCGTGTGTAACTGGATGTTTGAAGCTGTTTAGCCAGTTACTACTCGGCCTGATGAACTAACCTGGGAGGTTGAATTTCAGACTGAGTAAACTGACCTAGTAACCACTTTTTTTTTTTTTTTTTTTTTTTCTCAAGAATCCTTCTGTAAAGCAGATGTGTCAACCACTGTTGCACCTATTACAACACAGACAACTTCCACTGTGGTCCCAATCCCAACTAAGCCATCTCCAGACCTGCCAGCAGTGGGCAACTATACCATTAAGAATGGAAGTGATCCTTGTCTCCTTGCTAATATGGGACTACAGCTAAATATTACCAACACAGATAATCAGGTATTCACTTTCTGCACTTTCAATTTTTCCATTTGCATTGCAAATGAAATTCTAACAACTTTTTTCTCCCTCAGACACGTGTAATTAATATAAATTCCAATTCTACTGCCAGTGGACACTGTGGGGATAAACATTCAGTGCTCCTCCTAGAAGATACAGATGCAACCATTCAGTTTCATTTCTTTGTGGTAAGTATCTTTTATGTTGTTGTTTTGTAGATCCACTTGCTTTTCTACCAAGCAACATGTTGAATTTCTAACTTAAAGCAATTGAGTCACTTTTTAGAATCATAGAATCCCTACAATGTGGAGACTGACATACTTCCCAAGGAGTCCATACCAACCCTCTGAAGAGCATCCCACCTAGACTCACCCGTGCCCTGTTCCCACAGCTAATCCACTTAGCCTGCATGTGCCTAGACATTCTGAGCAATTCAGCATGGCCAATCCACCTGACCTTCAGAGTATAGACAAACTTGAAAATCTTGATGGGCTGGATTTACAATAAAGATTTTTTATTTAGCACAAGTGTTTTGGGTCTTGATTTCAATTGTTCATTTGCACAGGTATTAATGAGCTATTTTTAACTTGGTCTTAGTTTGTTCTTATTTGAATATGTATATATAATTTTGTCTTGAGTAAGCATGTCAGCAACTGGTGGCTTGAGCAACTACCTTGCAGTCCAGGGCAATGAGATATTGCTGCTATCAACTGTTGAAATTGTATTGGGAACATTTCAGACTGACCATTTTTAATTAGTGTCTCCTGTGACTATGAACTTCCCACAGAGAATTTCACAATCTTTTGTTAAACCTTTATTGACCATTGTTTCCTTATCTTTAATCCAGGAGCAAGCAAAATTCTTCTTGAAGGAGGTGAAAGTTAGCATAAGATTGCTTGTAAATGGTTCAAGTAAGTATTGGCCACTGTAGCCCAAATAAGAGATTTTCCCTTTTGTTTGCCATTTAAAACTTGTTTTTTATTTTAGGTCTTGATTGAATTGGACCTGCATGTATTGAAAACATAAAGCAATATGTGCCATTGCTTATAGTCACAACACAAAAACTGACTGTCCATGCTGACTAAACTGGTCCCATATTCCTCAATTTTCCTATTCTTGAACTTATCCAAATGTCTTAAACACTAACTAACTACCTGTATCTACTACTTCCCCTAGCAGTTCATTGTACATACAGACCACCCTCTAGGGAAACATTTTTTTGTCCCTCGGATCCCCTTAAATCTTTCTCCTTGCCTTAAAAAAAAAAAAATGCCCCCCTAGCTTTGCACTGCCCCACTTAGGGAAAGACCTTTTTGCTATTCACCACCTCCATGCCACTCTATACTTCATGGAACAGAACTGCAGTGCTTTCAATTACCCCCTCAATCCAGTTGAGTTAGCACTTTTTTCCAAGTTATAAACTACACTGGAATAAAGACTACTGTTCTAGCTGACTAGTTTTCTTAATCCTTGGTTTAAGTTTGTCACTTGTTTTGATCTCTTATTTTGCTTTTGGAGCTGAAGTGTTCTACAGCTAGCAATTGTGCAACTGAAGTGGCAGCTTGTCTTCCCACTTGTTCTCAAATTTTAATTCTACTTAGTTTTTAAGATTTGTAGCTTTGGTTGCAGACTTGTCAAGCCAGTGTTTTGATTGCAAATGTTTTGTCACCCTGCTAGGTAACATCAGTGTGCCTCCAGTGAAGTGTTGGTGTTCTATCTTGTTTATTTGTATGCCTCAGTTTGCTGGAGTGGTTGGTGTTACTTCTGGTTTTGTTCTTCAGTGGTTTGTACCAGTCCAGTTCAGTGTGTTTGGAGTTTTGGTTGAATGCCAGGCTTTCAGGAATTCCCTGGTATGTCTCAGTTTTGGTTTGTGCTATGAGGGATGTGTTGTCCCAGTCAAATGTGTCCTCCTTTCTCAGTGTATATTGAGACCAGTGAGAATTGATTGTCTCTTGGTGGCTAGTTGGTGTCCTTTATTGCCAGTTTGGTTTGTGTAGTGTTTCTCTCAGCTTGCATGGTAGTTTATAATACTACATTAGTGTTACAGATTGTGGGTATGGGGTCCTTTATGCTTGTCAGTAGCTGTCGCAGGGTGGTTTGATGGCTATCCTGATGCCTAGGGGTCTGAGTAGTCTTGTGGTCATCTGTCCCTGTACAGTAGGGTAACTAGTGTCTGGCTGTGTTGTCATCTTGTGGTGGTCTGTCATGGTGGTAATGGCAAACTGTGCTTTTTGGATATCCATTCCTTTTAAAAACTAAGTGCTCCTGTTCTGCTTTGTGCAATTCCAGGTTGCTGTAGTGTGCAGGACAGTAGCACTTATACATGGAGTTTTTAAAAACTCCATGTATATCTAAAAAGCGCAGTTTGCCATTGCCTCCATGACAGACCACCACAAGACAACATAACACAGCCAGACTCTAGTCACCCCACTGTACATCAGAGACATGACCACAAGACTACTCCTACCCCTAGGCATCAGGGTAGCCCACAAACCACCCTGCAACAGCAACTGATGAGCATAAAGGACCCCATACCCACAATCAATAAAACTAACAATATACAAAATACTATGCAATGACTGAGAAATGCATACACCAAACGGAAGAAAACTGACAAGGATACACAAGCACCAACTAGCCACTGAGACATGACCAATTCTCACTGGTGTCAATACATGTTCAAAGGAGCACACTATTTGACTGGGACAACACATCAATAATAGCATGAGCCAAACAGACCTGCCAGGGAATTCCTGGAGGCCTGGCATTCTAACTAGAACACTGTCAAGAAACCCACTTGAACTGGACCTGATATACAACCCACTGAAAAACAGAACCAGAAGTAATCCCAACCACCTCAGCAAACTGAGGCATAAGTAACAAGTGGGACAGAACACCACTGCTTCACCAGAGGTGCACTGCTGTTAGCTAGCAGGGTGATGAAATGTCTGCAATCAAACACCAGCTTGGTGAGCAAGTTTGCAGCCTCTAGTCCCATTCTTGTTCAACTCTTACTGATATGCCTGTCCAAATTGAAACATTTGGTTCAATAGTCTTGCTGGTTGTGTTCCTTGAAACAAGTATTTTTCATAGTTAGCCACTTTTAGATTCTAGCTGCAATAAATAATTATTGTTACATTGTCTGTCTTGATTACACTGAGTAGAACAGTAATCAGAAACCAAGCAGCTTGGCATATTGACATGAGTGTCCTAGTCCTGTCAATGGATGAGTGAAATTTCAAATCTGGGGTGAATTTTCAGTCTGTTTGTGGAGCTTGTGTTTCTCTGAACTGGCTAACAAATTATTCTTCTTTCTGCCTCAGCAACTACATTTAACTGCAGCAATGGCAATCTTAAGTATTGGCAGGCATTTGTCGGAAGTTCATACATGTGTCGCAATGAACAGCAGCTGGTTGTGACTGACCAATTAGCTATTAATACATTTAATGTATGGGTCCAACCATTTGAGATAAAGAATGGAACCTTTTCCAGAGGTAGGTTTTTATGAAATGCTAACTGGATTTCATTTAAAAATAATCTAAACCTATGGGTTATCACTTTGTTTCTGTCCTAAAATATGGTCACCTATTTCAAATGTTTACCTGATCTAGCTAGAATTGGTGCTATATTTTGACCCAGAAAATGTTTTGCTCACTTTCATCTATAACTGCTCCCCACCCCACTTTAGTTTGCATATTTGTGTAGTTGTCATGTGATATGACAACCAAAATCCACGTTCATCCCTTGGGATCCCATTGGAAAATAAGGATGGGCCATGAAATTTTAAAAACTTTGGATCCCTGAATGTCAACTCCAGGAGAATCAGAGCACAGTTGAAATTAGTGCATTTCCTTTTCATTTGAGCAGAAAGTCCTGCTATACCACTTGCCACTGCTGAAAATGTAAATTGATTGCAGACAATAAGTTGTCATGTCCTATTGATAAGGATTACTCAACAAGGGTACACTTGGTGACATCTGAGCAATTTTTTGATTTGACAACCATAGGAAAGACTAAGTGCTGGTGAAGTTTGAGTCTTCCAACATCTGTGGAGGGAAACCAAGCTAGCAAATTGAGGTCATATCAGACAGTAACTTTCCCAGCAGATGCTGCTGCTAGACCTAAATTTCTCCACTTTTGTTTTAGGTCTCCAGCATCTGTAGCATTTTTTTGCTATTATACAAATTATTTATGGCTAATACATTTTTGAGCAGAACCTGGCAATTCATCTGATTTTATTTTTTTGTCCACAGCTGAAGAGTGTTCTCTGGATGATGACAGCATCCTTATCCCTATTATAGTTGGTGCTGCTCTGGCTGGCTTAATTGTGATTGTTGTGATTGCTTATGTGATCGGTAGAAGAAGAAGCTATGCTGGATACCAAACACTCTAATGATTTTGATTTCTATGTACTTAAGCCATGATTTTTAATTGCTGTTGACTGTAGTAGGTGCAAGTCCTTGCCTGAACTCCTTCAGTTGCACTAGGTTTTTGCTTGGGGCTAGTGAACTTGTATCTACACTTCACATGGATGAATGTTTATAATGCTGGCAGGCAATGTTGTGGTATTGCTGCCAGGCAGTTAGTGTTCTGCAGAAGGTGACTTCTTAAATTGTAAGCCTGCCTGTGACTGTTACTGAAAATTAATTTGTGCTAATTTGCCAGCACTACTACCAGCATTTTCAAAAAAATAACGAACTTCAAATCTGAAACTGAATATGTATTTACCAAGACCTCCTGTAGCTTGTTTGGATGTACTGGAAACTGTATAAATGTGAATAGTTTGTGTGTATATAAGTTTTTTTTTTTTTTTTTTTGGGCTTGCTTCATGGGGAAAATAGGTACCTTCCTTATGGAAGGAATTTTCTCCAATTTGTGTAATGTAAATTCTAATTGGCACATGCACATGCTATCTAATGTTGACCACTGATTTTTCTAACTTAGTCCTTCACTCTAGACACTGGAAATTTTGAATGTTGACTTTTATCTTGGAAGTTCAAATTTATAACCTTGACAAGTTTCTTTATTCCGTGCCTCATTTGTAAAGTTTAACTCTGCTTTATAATAAAAAGTTTCATGCAAGCTGATGTAGCACTTATTTGAGGCTGAGGAATGCCAAAGCTTTGCATATTTTACACTCCAAGACACTGCACTAACTAGCTGCAGTAGTTACCCAATGAATAGAAGTTTCACTTTTTTTCCCTATTCACCTAGTTGAGTATTCTTGCAGGTGTGGGTAATGTTCTTCATTGCTCATTCCTAGAACAGTGAAATGTCTTGCTGTACTGCTTCTAACTAAAGTAGCTTTTTTGCTTAAAATTGCTTTCAAACTGGCTTCAAGATTACCAGCTCTGGTCACAAAGTTGTGACATCTTAATTCCACACCTACTGCAGAACTCTGACTTTACAATTTTTTGTTGCTTCTGTAAATTGAACTCCACCAATTGACTCAAACTTCTCTCTGATTTTGCATTTGTAGTGCTTGTCATGAAAGCTGTAAACACTAACCAATTCTGCAAGCTAATTTGGATCTACCCTCTGAATTCTTTCTTTGTGGTTAAGTTGCTACATGCATGAATTAAATCTGTAGCACAACTTTAATAAAACTACATTATGGAGCTAATTCAACTTTAAGACAGCTAAAACCAAGATGTCATTCTTCAAATCAATACAGATTTGTAAAAACTCAGATTTTATTAGGGTGTTTGAGCTTCTGGGTCTCAACTGCATTTTGGAAACATAAGCACTAGAAATTTGTATATTTTGGCTTGTCAAAAACTAAACTTAATTGTTTGGTTTGAGGGATTAAACTTTTTTGGTTCTAGGTTACACGGGTGTTTTGAGTTAGTAAGTCTTAAAGTGACCTAAAATACTAGTTTTTGTCCTTACTAAGGAATTGAGCATAGTTGGTTGTCAGGCTAAGATTCAAATAGCATGTAGTTGTAGTCTTAGCTGCATCCAAGTTGTGTAGCTCCTTTCTGAATGTCAATATGCACCTGAGAATTCAATTTTGAAACTTTTGAGTTGAATTTCTTTGATCCAAACTATTTTGCTGCAATAGCAGGCTTTTGCATTTATCAAATGAATTATGATCAACTGAATTCAAATCTTTTAATTTACGGTCTGGCTTGAGTTTAAGTCTTGATATACCGGTTCCAAAGTAATTGACTTGTACAAATAAGTCCAAATACTACAGTAGTTTGACTAAATGCAGTCAGATTTACTGATGGGTTGGCATTCTTGTACTTTTTTTAAAAAAAAAAAAAAAAAAACTTGCCTGGATGATTCTCTGGCAATGCAGTGGTGCCAAGTGTGGATTCAATTCCCATTACTAGCTGAGGTCAGTGTAAAGGCCTGGGGGGGTCAAGAAAGAGCATCAATCATCTGAGGTGTGGTGACCCTCTGATTTGAACTCACCAATTATCTCTAATGCAAGCAGCCTATGGTTCTCCAGGCAATGTGACTTTATACTGGGCACTTGGAAAATTAAACTTGGATTTTGGTTTAATTTTGGTATCCTTCAATACAACCCTTCTACAGAACTCTAGATAAAAATTTGGATATTAAACAATGTACTGGTACCAGGTGTTGCATTTCTATAGTTGCTGCACTAAATGCACAACTTAACCTTGATCAGTTGCCTTTATTTGAAAATGGGAAAATCTTCAATTAGAATCTTTGGGTTTAATTCAAATTTTGTTTTTACTTTACTGAACATATTCAAATGGGTGAATTGTTGTGCCTCTATGTAATTAGGTCTTTGGGATTTTACCTTCTACTTTTTTTAGGTTATTGACATCACCAACTTTTATCTAATTTCTTTAAATCCAGCTGAAGACTGCAAAGCAAATGACCACTACATCGTGCCTATTGCAGTTGGAGCAGCGTTGGGAGCACTAATTTTGATTGTGCTGGTGATCTACATCATTGGTCGTAGGCAGAATCGCAGTCATGGATATGAGCACTTCTAAGTTTCAGCTCTGGGATTGTTCAGCTATTTGATTTTACTTACAAGCATTGGTACAAATTGTAAACAATTAAGGTGAATTAGATATTGAAGGACAAACTATAAGGAATGCATTTGCAGATTTAAGTTGAACTTTAACATCTAGTTTAGATCACAATGCTCAATTGTATAAATCTGGGGCCATCTTAAAGGATGGTACATCAGTCCTCTAATCTTTTATTGTTACTCTTAGTATCATTATCTGCAGCCTATTTCATGGTCCTTTAATGTTCCACTATCCATGTTTTGTAGTGGTTTTTAAAATTGAAAAACCTACAATTTTAGAATATTTGCTTCCAAACCCACAATCTGAAATTCACACTTCCTAATTTGAATGTGTGCTATAGAAAATACTATCTTGATTGCAGACTTCTACAATTTACTACTTGAACTGATGAGTACACATCACTAGCAGCATTTCAAGCTCATCTGCACCAGTCTTCACTTTCTCTTGTATTTCGACTAAGTTTCCTGTCAAAAGACTTTGAACTCTGCAAGCTAATGATTTACAAATCTGGTTAAGTTGATTGTCTATTTATGATTTGAGAAAATACCAAAGACTCTTGCTTGCTTTCATCTAGTGAAACGCTTTAAATTTCTGCAGTCTCATTAGTTTGGTCTTGGCTGTCAATCCAACTCTGACACCAGCATCCATTTTATTTTTATTCAGTCTGATTTGAACATTTGACTATCCTAAATGGACCTGGTTTGAATTGAGATGCTTGACATGGTTTGGTATTCAATTTAATCTCCCATATTGATCCTTGACTGCAATTGTGCAAAGCTTGTAACTAGTGTTCTGTGCCAGGCTTACCAATGGGAAGCTGAAACTTCAGTAGTATTCACTTGGCATTTGGTGATGCAAAAGTTGCAGTGCCACCATTTGAGGTTTATGCCACAGTGCCTGAGTCTGTCACCTGTGCAGAAGTGGGGCATGACCATCAAAAATTGGTTACTTTTCTCCCATTTGAACAATGGGTATGCTTTAATGCACTTCAACTGGCACCCTACTGCAGTTTTCTAAAACTGTAGAGAACTCAGTTGATATCCTATAATTTTATGTAACGCATTAGTTTTGGGCATGTGGAAATAAGAAACTTCAGCTGATCTTCCATGGGATAGTGTTGCAACAAGAGAACTTGTTTTGGGTAAATGCAACAATTCAATTACATTTGGACTTCACTATGTATTGTATTTTGAGGGAGGCATTACCTCCTGCTTTCAATCAGCTAATTGCATACAGGTGTTTTATCAAGTCCCTTTTCTATAGTCTTGACTGAATTCACCTCATGCAACAAAAAGATGACTGGAGTAGTAAGCATTTCAGAAAGCATACATTGAACATACTTTGCCTAATGTCTTGTCTTGTGCACTGAAATTGGGCTTCTATGGCCTTTGCATGTTTGCCTCACCTGTCCTTTAACTAACAATCTCCTAACTTCTCTGCCACAGCTGAAGAATGTCTTGCTGATTCTGACCTGGGTTTTCTGGTACCAATCGCTGTTGGAGCTGCACTGGGCCTATTAATAATTCTTGTCATCATATCTTATGTAATTGGACAAAGGAAGAGCCAGAGTGGCTACCAATCTGTGTAATCAATTATATTCAGAAGGAACTCTCACTTGCTGTCTGTTACAATCTGTCCCACTTTTTTGGGACTGGACGAAATCCTGACTAATAGGCTTTTTGTCTTGCTTCCTTGATCTAATGCTTAAGCCACTTAATGTGGAGAATTGATTTTTAATTTGTTTTTACAAGTAATATTGAATTTCTCCTTGAATACAGGTTCAGGAATGGACTGAATATCTGCTAAATCAATAGTGGTCTTGGTTGTAAATTTTCTTTTGTTAACATCTCCTGGGATGTAACTATTTGGCTTTACTTGATCTAAAAGTTCAGAAGCCAAAACCATCTTTCACCTGCACCAAATTGATAAGAGCAATAAACAAATGGGCTTGTGACAATGAAATGTTTAATTTCTCTTTTTTTTTTAAGAACACTCTTATCCAAATTAAGGTAGCAGTTCAATTTACAGATAAAATGCTACTTGCATCTATCAACCTTCACCTTACTAGAAGCTTGTAATGACAAAGCAGTTGCTACACTTAACAAACAACAATGCAAAATAGTTACTTTGCAGATAATAGTAATCAATCACTCACTTTACCCACCCCACAATTGTTCTATAGGATCTTTACTGCTCTTTGCCTGTGGCACTACTGGGGGAGAATTCTAATTTGTGTAATTGGACAAACCTAGAACACTTTCATAATTCAAGACTAGGCTATTAAACTTTGACACTAATGACTGGTGTAACTAAATCTCTTGTAGAGGAGGACATATAATAGGATTAAAAATATATTTTGGCATCTTTTAAGCTTGCAAAAAATTTTTTCTCAGAAACGGACTGGTGCTTGTCCATGGATTTTTTTTTTTTTTTCAAAAGTACTTTGGTATCAGGCCACTAATATTTATTGATGGGCCATTGTGGGAAAGCAGTGAGACTAGAATTTTACATGAAACTGGAAAACTTGCTTTTTTAAGGCCTGAGCAAAACCAGGAGGGGTAACAACATACAAGAACCTGTATCCCTCTCCCAAAAGGGCAGCATGGTGCCTAGCATTGCTGCCTCACAGTGCCAGGGATCTGGGTTTGATTTCCAGCCTCTGGTGCCTGTCTGTGTGGAGTTTGCACGTTCTCCCAGTATCTGCGTGGGTTTCCTCCCACAGTCCAGAGATGTGCAGGTTAGGTGGATTGGCCATGCTAAGTTGCCCGTAGTGTTCAGGGAAGTGTAGACTAGGTGAGTTTCAGGGGGATGAGTCTAGGTGGGATGCTGAAGTTCAGTGTGGACTTGTTGGGCCAAAGGGCCTGTTTCCACATTGTAGGGATTCTATGAAAAGGGCAGATTTTGGTTTAAATAATACTTGATTAATTTGTTAAATTGTACATCAGTTCCCAAAGTCAATGAACTTTTATTTAACCCTGAATTTAAAACTTTTCAGTCTATGAGGTCAAGTTTTTTTTTTTTTTTTTTTTGTTCATCTTGATTTAAAGAAATAAGTCTATTTCATCTCCATCCACTCCAAGTTTTTTCTAAGTATTTAATGGTTTCACACTTTTCTTGCTCAACCTGGACTCCAGAACTGAGCGATAGTTCATCTTGCCTCTATCATCAAGACTACTTCCAGTTTCCAAGTTTTTACTTGCCATACTTCCTGTATTGTAACACTTGCATATGTATGTGCTCTGGCCTTTTGTTCACACCTCAGTTTTTTGAACTCTACCCTGTTCATCTAATTAATAATTGACAAACAATTTTAAAATCCTTACTTTTCTTCAAGCTCCTTTCTGATTTTTTTTTTTCTCCCCTACTGTAGCCTAGCCATCTATCACTTTGATTAAAAGAACAGTCTTACTGTTAAACATCCTAAGTGCTTCATTCTAACATTCAAATAAAATCTGATACCAAGTCATGGGTAGAGTAGCAGGTGAAGGACTCTGGTCTGAAGCCTTTCTTTTTTGCAGGTATTGATGCAGTTGCTGATGAAGAATGCTTCTAGGTGGATGTTGGCTGAGAACAAAGTTTGCATGTGAAATTCCCAATGTAGCTTAATATAGATTATATTTTTTTTTTACTAGCTGCCCAAACTGAGAATTTCCCTGTTTGCTGTATTTCACCTCTGTACTCATAGATATGCCTGTTTTTGTTACCTAATTGCTTCCAAAGTACCAAGGTTGTCATTATTGTCACTTTCCCAATCACCTGTATATATCTATCCTTTGACTTGAATTACTATGACAAAACTTCAATCTACTTTCAGGTGTGGGAAGAGACTGAAATAGAAATTTTAAAATGTGACTTAAATCTTAGATTACCTAACAACCATGTAAGAGCAACAATAAAGATGAACCAGTGTTCTGTTGAGTTTCTATGTGAGGATCACAAGTTGAGTTAGCATAAAACTTAGTGCTACAATGGACAAAATGACTAAATGGACATTGCACTCAGTACCATCCCCTTTATCCTTCCCCTCTAGCTCTCCACATTGGAAAAAATTTAGTATTAATTTGAGTACCTTGATTGAACCTGCCTCCACTATGTCTTGGGCAGTGCGTGAGACAGCTTTCTCTTTCTCACTGGAAGCGGCGAGACCTTTTTTTTTTTTGGTTCATTGAGGTTTCCCTCATCTACTGTTTCTAGACCATTTATGGTTTTGAATACCTCTACCAGTTTTGCTGTTAGCCTCTTCTTCAAGGAAAACCAATCCTAACTCTCAATTTGGAATTTTTCTTCAGGAGCTTGGTCTGGAAATATATCTTCTGCTTTTAAATTTAAGTTTTGTCTCCATCATTCCTACTTTCCCCATAACCATTTAGCACTAGGGGATAGCTGAGCCTCTGATCTTTACAACTGTCTGGTGAAGGCTGACAATCCAGGTTGCATTAGCCATCCAGCTTCATCTCTCCTCTTTCTCACTCTTTTCCTCTATTACAATTGCAAAGAGCGAAAAACATGTTCAGCCACCAGAGCAAGAATCTCAAGTTTGATTTTTGTTTTGGATACTACAAGTTTCGTACCACATGTTTCTGCACTACTTACTAGGATTGGATAAACCTATTTTCACAAACTGGATCACAACCACTTTCAAAGCTATGCTGTCTCTAATCTAAGAGGACAAGAATGTATTTGCATGTGAGAACTTTTAACATTTGAATCCAAAGTAAGAGTAGGTCACTTGGCTCTGCTCTGACATTTGATAAAATGATGGCAGATCTGATTACTCCATATCTGACCTGACTCTGATAATGTGACTCATGCTTAAGAATTTATCCACCTTGCCCTTCAAAATATTCAAAAACTCTGCTTTCACTGCCATTTGATAAATAGAATTCCAAAGACACTCAACCCTCTATCAGGAAACTTATTTTTAAGTCCTAAACCTGGATTCTTCCACAGGCTTTTTTTTAAAACAAAAAAAAATTCCACACATCAAGACCCTTCAAGGTTTCAATCAAATTACCTCTTATTCCTATATATTTCAGTAGACATTCCAAACCTAGTCTGTCTAACTGTTCCTCATAAATGTAAGCTACATCTGCATTGCTTCCTACACCCTTACATCCATCCTTAGATAAAGAAGCCAATACTCTTATACATTACTCCACATCTGGTCTCACCATAACCAAAGCATTACCTCCTTATTTTGTTTTCAATTCTCCTTGCAATAAATGATAACTTTCCTAATTACTTGTACCTTCATACTAACCTTTTTGTACTAGGTCAACCAGATCCCTCTGCATCAAAGAACATGGTTATAGTCTACAGTGTCATTTGCTGAGGGGTGACCTTTATAGTAGTTTATAAAATCATGAGAGGCATAGGTATGGTGAAATAGCTAAGGGGTTTTCCCCAGGGTGCCAGAGTCCAATAGTAGAGGGCATAGGTTTAAGGTGAGAGGGGGGGAAAAAATTTAAAAGGGACCTAAGGGGTAACTTTTTCTCACAGATGGGGTGTGTGTATAGAACATGCTGCCAGAGGATGTGGTGGAGGCTGGCACAATTACAATTAAAAGGCAGCTGGATGGGTATATGAATAAGAGGGGTTTAGAGGGAAATGGGGCATATGTGATTAGATTAATTTAGGATATTCAGTCAGCATAGATGAGTTGGACTGCTCTATGATTCTAAGGTCAATCATCTTAGCTCCAACACATCTCTACAGGAGTGCATTAGAGTGGTGTACTTGTGTACCTGACCATCTTCAGCTGATTCATCCATGATCTCTTCACCATAAGGTCAGAAGTGGGGTTGTTCCCCAATGACTGCAAAATTCAGCATTATTTGTATCTCCTCAAACTTAAGCAGTACATTTAAAAGCAGCAAAATCTGGACAATGTCCTCCAAGTTATTAATATATATTATACATAGTTGTGGTCCCAGCACTGATCCATGTGGTCATAGGTCGCCAACCTGAGACAGAGCCCCTTACCCACTCATTGTTTCTTGCAAATTAGCCAATTCTCTATCCACGGCAATATATTACCTCCAATACCGTGGGCTGTTATCTCATACTTAATCTTCTGTGAGGTTCCTTGTCGAATGCCTTCTGGAAGTCCAAATACATCTACTGGTTGCCCTCTATCCATTCTAGTTGAGACTTTGTATGTGAATGAGCTGCCAGAGGAAGTGGTAGATGCAAATTACAACATTTGAGAGAGATTTGGACAGGTACATGAATAGGAAAGGTTTAGATGGATATGGGCCAAATGCAGGCAAATCAGACTGGTTTAGTTTTGGAAACTTGGTTGGCATAGACAAGTTGTTCTGAAGGGTCGGTTTCCGTGGTGTACAACTCTAATATCTAAGTTGGGGGTGACCAGTGGCATGTAACATTTGTATCCACAAGTGCCAGACAATGACCGTATCCAAGAGAAAATCTAACCATTGCCCCTTGATATGCAGTGTCATTATGACCACTGCATCCCCCACTGTGCATGTTCTGGGGTTACCGTTGATCAGAAACTGAAGTGGATCAAGCATATAAATGCTGTGGCTTTAAGAGCGGATCAGAGGCTAGAGATCCTGCAAGATGTAACTTCCTAAGTCTGTTCACCATCTCTAAAGCACAAGTCAGGAGTGTGATGGAATAGTCCTCACTTTCCTCGAATGTGTGCAGCTCCAACAAATACTCAAGCTCGAGTTCATCCAGGATAAAAGCAGCATGCATGACTGGCACCACATCCACAAACATGCAAAATCAAGAAGGTAGCTCATTTACTCCTCCTCAAGGGCAATTAGGAATGGGAAATAAATACTAGCTGAGCCAGCAAAGCCCACATTGCATGCATGTTTTAAATCTCAGCTCTGCGATCTCTTACCATTTACAAAATGTTTTTTTTTTATTCTACCTACCAAATGTTAAATTCCACATTATACTCCTTTTATAAGATATTTGCCCACTTACTTTAT